CAAAGCAAATTTTCCTTTGTGATGAGGAAGAGTCTTAGTAAAAGCTTACATTTCATATTGTTGATTTTATTTATAAAATTCACAAAAAAAACATAAATAATTTTTTCTCCAAACGTCAAAAAAACGTCACTTTGTTGACCCCTGTCAAGATGTCAGAAATTTAATTTCTATGCTGCTAGGTAAATCCAGCGGGTAAACACCTGTCGAGGTGGTAGAAGTTTAATTTCTATGCTGCTTGGCAACCCCAGCGACAGCAAAAGTACTTTTAGTGCCGCTCGTACTTTTACTGCCGCTCAACCATCCACTTGCCCCCGAGCTTACCTCATTAGTTTGGAGAAAAAATAGCGTGTTGCATACGGAGTAGAAGCACTTTTTTATGCTTCAGCAGTATTGCAAGCCTCACTACGTTCGGCTCGCAAACCTACTGCTTCAGCACAAAAAAGTAAAGCTTCTACTCCTAATACAACAATAGTATATCGTATATTCAGTAGTAAACCTACTGCTTCAGCAAGCTTCTACTTCTAATACAACAATATACTATTATTCCATTGTAGCTAAGATCAATTAATGAAATACAAATAACACAGCGATATATTTCGCTGGTCATTACCTTAACGCACTCGTAGCTCACCCGAAATTCTATGTAAATTTTATCGGGTTTTCTGTACAAATTTACGACTTGCCGAAATAAAAAAAGTAGAAATTGTCACGTTTGCTTTGTCAACTGAATTATTTATAACTCACTTCAAATAATTCTATACCACGATTAAAAAATTTCCACAATGAAATATTATTATATTGGTAGGTATTTATAGAAAGACAATTTGTTACTTCTAGTGCCTTTAAGAGGATGTGAAAGAGTTTTTGCAAGTTGTAAGTCAAATTTGACCTATTCTTTATGCAATAAAGTTATTACACAAAGTAAAATAAGTAGGTATCGTATCCTCTATAAATCTATATTTTTGTTTGACCTAGTAGCAGCTATTCATTCAACGATTCTATTATATTTGGCTTTTAAATTAGAAAAACTGGATTCAATTTCGATTCCAAATCAATTTCATTGTAGCGTAACGTTCCATAAATTTTTACGAACCTTTTTGTTATAGATGTCCGGTAACATTTCACGAGAACCCATGTTTTTGACAAGCTGTGTCTGATTTTTGATAAAAGCTTCTTATATCTTTTGATAAAAATCGGGTTCAGATTTTTATTAATCAAAACCTCCTTGAAAAACTGAAGCCATAATTTATTATCCCTAATTTATATGATTAATGCACCAATAATTATCTAACTGCCATCATTTTTTGTAATTTCTCGCCTAAACTGTTAACCCTTATAGTCTAGGAAAATTGTCGATTTTCAAAAAAAAAAATCCTACCCAAAAGAACTTTTCAGGGATGAAAGGGGGAGGGTGGGTGATCATAAAACCGAAAATATGAAACATTCACCCCTCTGGCGTTTTGCGCTATAAGGGTTGAAAGTGCGCCATTGGCGATTACTTGGTACCTATTGATTTTACAAAAAAATATTTCAAATAGAAGATGTGCAACATTATTTGATCTACATTTATCAAAAGAATTTTTTGATTAAGGGCCGTCTGTGGTCATAAGGGCCGTTTGAAATTTTATAATGAAAATGAAAAATTTTAACCAACGTGAAAACATTTTCTACAACTCATACAACATTTTTGCTTAATGAAGTTTACACTCACCCCCTGCCGTTTTTTAATAGGGGTGGTTTAAAGTTTTTTTATTTTTTTACAAAAAAAAAAATTTCAATAAAAGATTTATAAGATGACATTTCCTACAATTTTTCCCAATCAACTTTTTTTGTAACTCACCCTCATTCAGCGGGGGGACACTTCCCTCGGGGAAATTTTAGTTTTTAGAGGTATATATTAATTTTTTTTTTCTTTTCTCGCCTTTAGTGCATATAAAAAGTTGCAATTAACATTGTAAGAAGGATTTTTTTTTTCACCACCTTTTTGCTTTTAGGGGTAGTTCGCCTATTTTCAACTTTACAAAAAAAAGTTATAGAGAAAAGTTGCTCAAAATAATAAAATGAACAAGTTTTCTCAATTCTCAACTACCCCTAAAAACAAAAAGGTGGTGGAAAAAAAATCCTTTTAATACAATGTTAATTGCACCTTTTTATATGCACTAAAGGCGAGAAAAGAAAAAAAAAATTAATATATACCCCTAAAAATTAAAATTTCCCTAAGGAAAGTGTCCCCCCGCTGAATGGAGGTGAGTTACAAAAAAAGTTGATTGGGAAAAATTGTAGGAAATGTAATCTCATAAAACTTTTATAAGGAAATTTTTTTTTGCGAAAAAATAAATAAACTTTAAACTACCCCTATTGAAAAACGGCAGGGGGTGAGTAAGAACTTCATAAAGCAAAAATGTTTTATGTGTTGTAGAAATTTTTTTCACGTTGGTTAAAATTTTTCATTTTCATTATAAAATTTCAAACGGCCCTTATGACCACAGACGGCCCTTAATCAAAAAATTCTTTTGATAAACATTGTAGATCAAATAATGTTGCACATCTTTTATTTGAAACATTTTTTTGTTAAATCAATAGGTACCAAGTAATCGCCAATGGCGCACTATCAACCCCTATAGCGCAAAACGCCAGAGGGGTGAATGTTTGATATTTTCGGATTTATGATCACCCACCCGCCCCCTATCATTCCTGAAAAGTTCATTTGGGTAGGATTTTTTTTTTTGCAATACATGTATTTTTCGACTATTTTCCTAGACTATTATAAATTTGCCTCGTTTTAGACCCGCGGCTATGCGGCTTATCTGCAATCATGCAAACATGTTTTCAGAAGCCTTATTTTCGTGATAATCAGCCCTATCCACGTGTATCCTTGGATATTGGTTATTGCCTTGGTTATTGGAAAACTGTAAAAATATGGTGGATTGTTATTCAGGTGCTCCTTAGTTGTCGAATTGAATATTGGTTATTGAATGTCATATTGGTTATTGAAATTGACATCGAATTCCTTATTCAGGTGTACTATATTTTCCAATAACAGTTTTCAGTGTTTCATATCTAGTAAGCAGCGGGTTCAGGCACCCGCTTGACAGATTGGATATTGGAAAACTATTGGTTTTTGTGTTATGTTTACAATTTAGAAGTGACTGTGGTAATTTTATTTTCAAATATGGATAATTTTCCGTTGTTAATTGCAGCATTAGAAGAAGAAAAGCGAAGGTAAGGAAGCTCTTTATTCCTGGTTAGTGGTATGAGCTATAAAAAAATCGTATATTAGAAAATCAACAAGGAGAGTGCTTTGGATAACTATGATCGTATTTATACTTTTTAGACTTGAACACAATCAGAGAAAGAAGAACCTTCGGGAAACAAGCAACCCTCTGGATTTGCCAGAAAATATTTTTAAAAATATCTACAGGTTTTCAAAAAATACTGCAAGATATCTTATTGAGGAAATTGGGCAATTTCTTCCAGATGCAGAACGTCCGCATGGCATCCCAAAATCTCTAATTATTTTAAGTGCATTGCATTTTTATGCTCAGGGCACTTATCAAAAGTCCACAGGACAAGATGTCAATTGCCCTATGAGCCAAGCGTCTGTCAGTTGAAGTCTTGACTTGGTAACTGACATCCTAAACAATCATTTTGGCCACAAAATTCACTTTCCCACCACAGATCAAGAAAAAAATGAAGAAAAGCTTAAATTTGCTCAAAATTTGGATGGGTTTCCAGGTGAGTAGAATACTAATGACGATGATATGACTGCTGTTGGTAAACGATTTTTATGAATAATCTCTGTAGAAGCATGTTAAAAAACTTTCCAGCTGCCTGTTTGTGTCCTTGCAAAAAGTGTTTTCACCTGTTTCTCCATTCACTCTCGAACAAAAAATTACCACTATGAGTAAATGAGGAGGCATTCAAAGTGGGGCTTAGGATCAAAGTCAAACATTTTGAATACCTACCTACACTTTTTATTTCTGAAAATGATTTTGGAATAATGAAATTCCATTTTTCCTTCTATCTAATGATTGACATTCTCATTCCAGGTATCATTGGGATAATTGATGGTACCAACATAAAAATTCAAGCTCCTCCAGCTGAAGATGAAGTTTTTCCCGGAATTCTATTTTATAATAGAAAGGGCTTCTATAGTTTAAATGTACAATTAATATGTGGTGCAGATTACAAAATTTCAGCAATCAATGCAAGGTACCCAGGGAGTGTGCATGACTCAGCTGTAAGGAGCACAAGTTTACCCAGAATGCATTTGATGCAAAAATTTTGGGATGGTGACAGATCCTCTTGGCTCCTTGGAGATAGTGGTTATCCACTAGAGCCGTGGTTAGTTACACCAATAGTGGGAAACAATTTGAATGAGGGACAAAGAAGATTCAATACCAATTTTAAAAGAATAAGAAACCTTATTGAAAGGGTTATTGGGATACTAAAATCAAGATTTAGGTGTTGTTTTGGTCATAGGGCACTTCACTATAGCCCAGTAAAAAGTGCAAAGTTGGTTAATGCCTGTGCCATTCTTCACAACATATTGATTGAAAGAAGAGATTTCATTGATGATATGGATGAACCTAATGGAGATCAGATGGAGCATGATGATCCAATTATTGACATAGATAATTTAGATTTAGGTCAAAATTATCGCAATGAAGGACAAATAATTAGAGATAGAATTATTCGAGAATATTTTTACAATATGTAGTACCTATAATATAGATAGCATAGAATACAGTTTTTTTTCACATACCCAATAGGCTTACTAATAGGGCACCGACGATTTTTATCTGTAAAATATTACTACCTATAGGTAACCTTATAATAATTCAGTATGTACTCAAGTAAATTTTTATTTTATTCACTAAAGTCTTTCATTCCTTCCCAGTTTTCAGATCGCTTGGCAACTGAATTCATGGAGCATAAAAAATCAGGATCTTCAGGTACTTACTTTTTTATTTTTATTTAAAAATAATGCATACTTAATACTAAAAACTGAACTTACTCTGTAACAATAATTTTAGTAATCTTTTTATTGCATATGCCAGCTTCCAAACTGATTCAACAAGTAATTTTAATTCCTTTTTTACCATTTTTACATATATTTTAAGGAAGAAAGGATTTTTTTTTGTAATTTTATTTCTCTAATTTTAGACTTCTTGATTTGGTGTAGGTACTACGGTTTTCTTTGGAGTTCTCTTTTTTTTAATAACGTTTCTTGATGGATTCTGAAACACATAGAGATGTAAAAGTGGAGAGTAGACTTTCAAAGCATTTCTTGAAAAAATACATACTGGATTTTTAAATCCTAATTCAGGTACTAACATGCCATGAATGCACAGAATACCTATAATACACAAAAGCTTTTCCTCCAAAACAGTTAATATTTTGGGTATGGGAAATCCACCGCCTGTGAGGTGTTGACTAACATAAATCGCTCGTGCTTTATTTTTAACAGCTCTTTGCCAATTTGAAAATGCCTGAAAGTTACTGAAATTAGTGGCATGGTTTGGATTGGTTTATTTTATATTGTTAACTTGACAATAACTTATCATACCTCTTGCCACTCACGTAAATTTTTTCTAGAGCCGCCAGGTACTGCATTAAGATGTTCACATAGTTGACTAAAATTCTTTTCTTTTTTTCCCAAATAATCTATATACATCTCGTATTGTTCATAGGTCATTTTTGTAGTCCCTGAAAGTAATTAATTTTAAAATACATAACTAAACTGACTATGTTTTCCAAAAGTAATTGTGTTAAGAAACATCCAAAAAATTGTTTTTCTACAAACGTCACTAAAAGTGTCATTTTTAACGGATGCTGTCAGTGTCTAAAATGCCATTTTATGACACTGGTGTTAAAAGTGATTACTTTTAGCACTAGTGCTAAAAGTAATCACTTTTAGTGCGTTTGTAGAAAAAAAAGTGTATGATATTCGTGCTAAAAGTGATTTTATTTTGTTCAAAGGGTTGGAACACTCCGCCTTCGGCGTCGTGTCCCAAACTTCCCTTTTCACAAAATAAAATGTCACTTTTAGCACTTATATCATAAATATCTATTTTGTGAACATAGAGGTATAGTTCTAGTTACCTATATGAAATAAAATATTTAACACGTACCAAATTTATTAATGTGTCATAAAAACACAAAATAATAATGATAACAGAATATACCTAATAATACAACATAAAAAAAAAAAAAAATCTAAAAAATAACAACAAAAAAAAAACGAAAAAATAAATTCTTTGGGTCTCTAGGATTATAAATACTACATTAATGGTTAATAATAAATTATTAATTAATAATTATCCTCGTCTTCTACTTCCTCAGCATTTTGTTCATCTACATATTCTATTGTCGTTTGGTTGGAAGCTTCGACAATGTCACAATAACGATTGATAGCTTTGGCTACTTCTAATATTGCTAAGCTAATTCCCTCCAATTTCTCACAGGTCTCATTTGTGGCTGCTTCATACGTGTCACAAAGCACATCCCCTGTACGTTTTTTCTTTGGCTCTATAATTTAAAACAAAAGGTCCAGAAGGTCTGCTCTGTAAGGTCTGTAACATATACAGGGTGATTCTCAGATGACGCTCGTCCCTGTATTTTTTTTATTTTTTAAGATTTTCATCGCATATTTTGGTAGAAGGTATAAGTCATTGGTGTGCATTGTTTCACATATTAAGTACCTTTCTGATACTTCCAGTTTCACCGGAAACGACCCCAACTTTGAAATTTTAAATGGAACACCCAGTATATTTTTAGATATTTGAATTCGCCATTTGATTCTTAATATGAAAATGTATATCGATATAATTTTTTGACATTTCTGAAACCGAAATTACCAATTCGCACTTATCATCTAGCGTGCCATGAGTGACAATAATTGGTAGGTTTTGTACCCAAATAACTGTTAAAATTATTATTTATTTTTATTATTGGAAAATGCAACTTCTACAGCTATTTGAAATTTTCAAATGCGTAAAAGTTGATTTTTTCTTATGGCTCACGGAATCAACTAAACAACTTTTTTCCAACTAATAGATTGATACTAAACAATAATATTTTCTTTCATTTTAAACTTCTGCTAGATTGCGTAACTTTGAAAATACCCTCGTAAAGCAAGTTAATCACCTGAAATAATGTTGAATGATAACCACCTTTTATTAGAAATTTGACATATCCAATTTGACACAAAAAATAAGGCAAAAAAAAAACTAAAACGGTGTTTACACTAGATGCAATGCAATTTTAAAAATGGCATGCAGTCGGCTGCACATGCAATTTTATGCCTTCTACCGTTTACATAAAATCTGTTTTTCTCCAAACATCAAAAAAACGCCACTTTGTTAACCTCTGTCGAGGTGGTAGAAATTTAATTTCTATGCTGCTTGGCAACCCCAGCGGCAGCAAAAGTACTTTTAGTGCCGCTCGTACTTTTAGTGCCGCTCGTACTTTTACTGCCGCTTAACCATTCAGTTACCCTCGAGCTTACCCCATTTGTTTGGAGAAAAAATAGCGTGTTGCATACGGAGTAGAAGCACTTTTTTGTGCTTCAGCAGTATTGCAAGCCTCACTACGTTCGGCTCGCAAACCTACTGCTTCAGCACAAAAAAGTAAAGCTTGTACTCCTAATACAACAATATACTATTTTCTCCGAATGACAGTAAAAGCGGCCTTTTAATGACACTTGACAGGATCAAAGGTTGTATTTTTACTGCCTATGCAGTAAAAGTGGACTTTTACTGCCTAGGCATTAAAAGTGACAGTGTCACAACGTTCTAGGTACTAATTTCACTCAATTTGGTATTTGAAATTGATGGTGACAATGACAATTGTCAAAATAATTTAATTATTTGGATAATAATAATGAATTAAATAAATATAAAAAAGATGACCATGTGTGAATTTGAACATTCGGAGAAAAAATTATATGTTTTACATGGCAGAAAAGCAGATTTAATGCCTCGGCTGGTTTCCTAGCCATGCCTCGGCTATGAAACACCAGCCGCGGCATTAAATATTGTACTTTTCTGCGTAGTAAAACAAATAACTATTTTTTTTTAAAGATACAAGTCAAAATGACATTATGTTGGCAATACAATGTGAAATTGTCAATCTTCCAAATTTTTTATGTAGAAAAGGCTTGTGTTGCTAACATAGTTACTAAATTTTTGACTTGGGGAATTATCTTTAAAAAAAAAACAGACTTTAGGTATAGTATTTTTAATACCCATTTACCAATTCTTTCTTTCATGAAAACTCAATATGTGTACTGCATAAAGCTAGCAGTGCATCACGTCGTTTTTAAAAAAATATGCGAAAAAAAAAGCTGAAAATAGAAATTTTGTTCATGGAAATGGTAGCATTTAATTGGCATTTAATTTTCCTCATCATTTATATCACCCTACTACATTCCTGGATCATTCCTGGATGGTGTACTGCTATCTTTAACGGGTATAGCAGTGCAGGCCATATCTCGTAAACTACAAGAGCACAAAATCTGTGAACTTGGCATTTAATTAGCACTTAATTAGCACTTAATTAGCACTTAATTAGCACTTAATTAGCACTAAATTATTCCTATGTCGAAAACTTTACCAATACCTTCTTTCATGAAAACTCAATATGTGTACTGCATAAAGCTAGCAGTGCACCACATTGTTTTTTAAAAAATATGTGAAACAAAGCTGAAAATAGAAATTTTGTTTATGGAAATGGTAGCATTTAATTAGCATTCAATTTTCTTCATCATTTATATCACCCTACCACTTTCCTGGATTATTCTTATATGATGCACTTCTATCTTTAACAGTTAGCTAGCAGTACAGGCGATATCTCGGAAACTACAAGAGCAGAAAATTTGTTAACTTGGCATTTAATTAGCACTTAATTAGCACTAAATTATTTAAATGTCGAAAACTCTACCAATCCCTTCTTCCATGAAAACTTAATATGTCTACTGCATAAAGCTAGCAGTGCAGAGCGTTGCTTTTAGAAAATATTCGAAAAAAAGCTGAAAATAGAGATTTTGTTCATGGAAATGTTAGCATTTAATTAGCACTTAATTTTCTTCATCATTTATATCACCCTACTACATTCCTGGATCATTCCTGGATGGTGCACTGCTATCTTTAACGGGTATAGCAGTGCAGCCCATATCTCGGAAACTACAAGAGCACAAAATTTGTGAACTTGGCATTTAATTAGCATTAATTTTTCCAGTCATGAAAATTTGGCACTGCTGACTTTGCACTGCTAACTTTATATACGTCAATAAAAGAAGGTGCTTAACGTCATTTAAGGTAATCAACTTGTATTACGAGGGTGATTTCAAAGATTTTATTCCAAAAAATTAAAGTTAAGAATCTAGCAGAAGTTTAACATGAAAGGAGACATTATTGTATAGTATCAATCTATTAGTCGGAAAAAAGTTGATTCCGTGAGCCACTACCCTTTCCATAAGAAAAAATCAACTTTTACACATTTGAAAATTTCAAATGGCTGTAGAAGTTGCATTTTGCAATAATAAAAATAAATAATAATTTTAACATTTATTTGGGTACAAAACCTACCAATTAATGTCACTCATGGCACGCTAGATGAAAAGTGCGAAGAGGTAATTTCGGTTTCAGAAATGTCAAAAAATTATATTGATATACATTTTCATATTTAGAATAAAGAGGCGAATTTAAATATCTAAAAATATACAGGGTGTTCCATTTAAAATTTCAAAGTTAGGGTCGTTTCCAGAGAAACCGGAAGTATCAGAAAGGTACTTATTATGTGAAACAATGCACACCAATGACTTATACCTTCTACCAAAATATGAGATGAAAATCTTAAAAAATAAAAAAGTTACAGGGACGAGCATCATCTGAGAATCACCCGGTATATACAGAAAAAAACACCAATAAAAAAATTGAATTCGACCTAATTTTTGGCAATGTAAAGTTGAACTCAGAAAGGAATATAAACAGGTTTTTAACCGATAATAAAAAAAAAATGGCCCTTACTTGTCTTTGGGATGTTCTCCTTGTGAACATTTTTTGGCTCACTCTTACTAGATGAAGCTTCATCGTTGGCTTCATCACTGGAATGTCCAACAATATTATCTAAGCACTGTAAATAATATTTTAAGGGTGGTGCTCAGGATCACAAGTATAAGAAAAATATTGTTTTTTGTTTCGCATACCTTGACTTTAGAAGGGCCACTCTGAATTTCTTCCTTCTTGGGCAACTTATCTTCTGTTTCAGTTGTTTCAGTTCCTAGTTCTCTTCCATCCAAACCACTGACAGCACCCCGACCTGTTATTGTAAGAATTTCTTCTTCAAGTTCTGAGAGTTGTTTGTTCTCCCTTGCCTTTTTCCTTGAAGCACTTTTCCATTCAGTGAAGACCTAGGATGAACAATAATGTTTTTTTTATATTGATGATGAACTATAAATAAATGTTTTCTTAGTTTTTTTTTTTTAGATTTTGTTATAAACGATAAACTTATATCTGCAAGTCAGTGGTACTTTTGTATTTTGTCATGTTTAGCAGCAAAAACATCAAGCAAGCCTAAGATTATTGTGTTTTATATAGGTCCAAAATAAATTACATTTGTTTGAAGGGCACAAATTACAATATGTATTGTTATTAATCAAAAAGTTGATTACTTACCTTTTTCCAGGAAGCTGTT